TTTTCTAGATAATTTTAATCAGTTAGCACATTCGTTATTATTAAATACTTGTGGACTGGATAAATTTTGATGGTTTGTCCATTTTATATTTATCAGTCCTTTGTTAACTGGGTACGTTTCAATAGTTTATATGTTACATATCATTACTACTCGTAATATACCATTCATTATTCTATCTGAATATTTTATGTTTTTTTCGTGTTAACGATGTGCCTTATCATACTAATTTTTCATCACTGTGGACTTGAAATATTTGCTTTGTTGTATCACTGATGGGTTTGTTTATTTTCCATTCGTAGTGCTGAGCTGGACTTTGGCTCCTGATCCTAGAAGCCTCAATTTCTCCTCGTAATCTACAATTCTCTGTTCCTCTTCGTCAAAAATTATTTATTGCTTTAAGTCAAGTTGTCCAGTTCAGGGCCCTACCATTTGGACCAACCTCGGCTCTCTTAAGTGTTTTCTCAGGAGTACAAACTCTTGCCCTACATATTCACTCAATGAGTCTTTGCACTCTTCCTTCTAGGGATGATTGGCTCTTGCTTGCTTCTTCCTGTTCACAGTCCAGATACCACACTCTTCTGCTCCTACAGGATGCAGAATGGGTGGGATTCCTGATGTCAGGGTGAAAGTCCGTTTCTGCTTTGTAATCTCAGTAAGGTACAGCCTTCTCCTCTTTGTCTTCAGATTGGGAGCAAATAGTTCACATGTACCTGGCTTGGTTCACCTTTGACTGGGGTAAGTCTGATCACTTCCTTTCTTTTATGTTTTATATTCAGCTTCCCTAACCATAGCATCTACCTTATGGATCCAACCTTATGGCTGGTGTTGTCTGGTTAGATATGCTTTGCTTTAAACCCGCATTAGAGTAACTATTATAAAGCTCACTGTAGAGATGGGGTGTTTCTGTAAGACCACTGGCCACTTACTTGCTTATATATGTTCTCGATATCAATCAGTTTCAATCTATAGTGAAATGTCACTCATGGACTTCATGAGTAAGGCAGAAGGGGATTTTGGCCTATCCCTGCCAACCTTTTGATTGCATAAATTGGGGTTGGCCTGCTTTTCAAAATATGGAGTTGCAGATACCCATTGCATAGTCTCCAGTGGTACATTCTCCACACCACCTCCTCCTTCTAGTGAAGCACGGGAGTCTTTATCACTCCCACTTTCCAGTCACTAGGGTGATGGACTGTGGAGGCTTCCTACTGAGTGAGTTTCAATATTTAATTTACAATGCTCATGATTATCCACTCAGTGAGAAGAGGGCAAAGCTGGTTAAACTACTTCTAGAAAAAACAACTTATTTAATTTATAAAAGTAATTTCCCCTGGATGTTTTTGCCTCATTGGACTGCACTATATAATAAAACTTCATCAATGGGTCACAACATCAAAATCCAGCTTGAGTTTCCTCTGGTTGTTTTTACCCAGGTGGAACTTACTAGACAATATCACTTGATCAGTTGGTATAAATGAAGAAACCTATTTGATTTTCCCATGGATGTTTAGCCCAGGTAGACTTCACTCAACATAAAAACTTCATCAGTTGAAAACAAAAACAAATAACTCTTCTGGAATTGCTTCTGGATCTCGATAGAACAACTACCTTAATGAATTGTTATCATCAAACATTCAACTTGGGCTTCCCCTGGATGTTTTTTCCTTGGGTGAACTGCTCCTGACAATTTCCTAAATCAGCTGATGTTTTCAGGTATAGATCACACGGTCCTCATGCCCTAGCCACATGTTGTTATTCCATTTCACACTAATACAATATCAGACACAATCCTGTGACAAATGGAACATCCAGCCCTACCATCATTTGTCCAGTTCTGTGAGTATTATTACCACTTTCAATTATGCCTGTTTTTCCATTCTGCCCATTTTGTGTTACTTTCCTGTTTCCTGGGTGAAGAGCATACCTGCTCCTGAAGTAGTGCTTTATCTCTCTGATGTGCTTCATTTTCATCTCATAGCACACCTTTGGATTCTAGCTTTGTGTGAGGGGAGATAAGACTGTTTTGGAAGTTAACATTTTCTTACACTGAAAATGTATTTCTGATAGTTACTTACCTCCTTTCAAACACTTATCCTCCCCAATGCCACCAGTGTTTTTGTGTTAATACCTGCCAATTCTTGAAAATGAGGATTGAGCAGGAATAGCAGATGGCACAATACTATTGGTGGAGAGTAGTCACATGATATGTACATATTCAGAAATGGCGTGAAAATGATGAGGTATATAGACTGATGTGCTGGCGGCAAAAATTAGCAATGCTTAGAGGACAAATAAGAATTGAGATAGCATTATGTGTGAGGGGTAAGTACCTATTGGAAATACATATTCAATGTAAGAAAATGTTCACTGTTGTTAAAAGTTATAAATTTCTTGTACACAAAGAATGACAGTATTTTAATTTAGTGTTTCTACTAAAAATATGTTATCTGTTGTAGTTATTTGCACTCAAATTCTTAATAGTACGAGTGCAAGGTGATTTTCATTTGCAATATAAAAATACTTTTCTTCATCTTAGAGTTTTCATATTTCATTTGCTTAACCTCTAGAACCTCTTAAATAAATATCAAACATTTTTTAAGGTAAAGGTTATATTCTCTACCATATCACTAACTGTAGATATCATCAACATACAGTGCAATGAAATGTTTGAAATTAAGAAATAGATAAATGTACATACTTTTTAATTTTTTGTAGAATATCTTAAAAGATCTTCTGGTGATATTTGTCATTTCAGGTCTTTTCCTTTTCACATATACTTAATTTTTAATATTTTATTTTCCTTTCTTATCATTTATCATTTATTTTTCATATTGACATATTACAGTATCTTTGGCAAAGACGCACAAGCCATTGGCAAAAATTATCTTACATTCATGCAAGACTTTAAGTCTTGAGAACTGGGGCAGTGTTTGAGATAAATTTTAAAAAAAATGTTTGAACCTTTCAATTATGCATTTTAAAACATAAATAATATATAATTAATCAAGATATAAAAGTAAAACCTAAATGCAATTTAACTGTCTCTCTAACTTTAACATATTTATCTAAGAAAAAACTGTAAGTGCTATTGTGGATAAAGCAGCCAACAATACTACAGGCAGTTACATCTACCCAGTGACGAAACCCGAGGGCCAATTTTTAAAATAACTGTTGTTAGATTATAGTGTAAAATTTGCTCTTTCTAATGACTATAAACATGTATATGTAGCAAGTACATGTAAGTTATAAAGCTCAAGTATATGTATAGAAGGTGGTTGAAAAAAATGTGAAACTTACATGTCAATAAGGCAAATAAATGTACTTAATTGTCTAGACATACATCTACAAGACAGGCATTATCTGAGTCAAGATAGCGAATGCAAGAGCTAAGATTTTTCATAGCATGTGGGTCACGTGACAACACAAAACTGAAATTTTTAAGTATTTTGGTTAAACGTTTCTTTGAAATATAGGAATTAAAACTTAGATAACATAATATCAAACATAACATACATTATAATTTTAATTTCATTGCCATACGTTAATAGTAAAGTTATTTACTTAAGATTTGAATGTAACTCAAAGACTTGTGCAGAAAAGTGTTTAAAGGGTTAAATATTTCCTTATAACTTTCAGAACTTAAAAGTTATATTGAAACTTAATTTAACAACTATGTTTTGATGCGAAATTTGTTCTTATACATTGATAATAAAATAATTAAATTTTGAATGTAACTCTGTAAAAGGTTGTGACTTTTACCTACTTTTTGTGTAAGGGTTAACAACAATCAAACAAAACTAACTAGTCTACATTTTGGTTGCTTATCTGCTGCTGACTTCAGGGAATGATATGACTATTACCACTGTTAATATCTTTTAAGTACCTCTCTTAATGAATAATTAGATGATCCTATAAGCTACTGACAATAATTGATACCTCTATCAATTTGTTAGTGATTCTGGATGAGGACACCTTGGTATGTGCTATGTATCTGACCTTTCAGAAAGTCTTATAAGGTGCAGCACATAAGATTAACATTTGCAGTTGCATAAAAGTGAATAGAAAATTGACAATAAATGATAGAATGTGCATTTTCTATTTAATGGAAGGATGTTTAAGAGTAATCTCTCAGAAGTCTGTTTTGGTACCTTTGTTGTTTATGTCAGTGAATTAACTATAATTAATAGTAATAACTTTTTATAAGTTAGAAAATAACTATTAATAATATTAGACAGTAAAATATTTAGAAATGTTTCAACCTCAACACATACTAGGACTAAATTAAATTTATACTTTTTCGAATGAGCACGTGATATTGCAAGGGATTGGCAACACTCACTTTTATATTCAAATGTATTTGATCTTTCACAATGTACCAGGATTTTAAAAAATGTCTTTGAATGTGGTGGTAAATACTACTGGTATATTAGCATATATTTTAGATGAAAATTATTTAGAAAATTTGGAGAGGCAAAAAAGTATGTTCCATTTGGTTTTGAAAACCTTTATTGCAAACTGACATACATGAATCAATATTTAGAATAATGTATTTTAATAAAGTATCTTATATATAATATGAATAATTCATAAAAAAACCTCTTCATTAGAAAATTATCAATTATGATACCTTTAGAGCTATGATCATCCCAGAAGTTCAGTACCAAATCTGGGATTTATTTATTTTATTGCTTTCACTTGTTTTGATTGTCAGTATTTTAAATTTGAAGTTTGGTATGTTCCTAGGTGTGTGAATACATATATATATATATACACACACACCAGTTTAATTGTCTATACCTTATAATGAACTATTATACCCAAATAGAATTAGACAAAAAAAGTTGTGAATTACAAACACCAATTTCATATGTCTAGGCTTGTGTTATTATTAAAGTATTTTATAAGTTAATAAAGTGATAATTTTTGTTAACTGTGTAACAGCTTTTTAAAGGTACTCATTAGAGACTCAGTATTCAATAACATTTAAAAATATTTTCTAGATCGTACATAGTATAGCACCTTCTATCTTTGGCCATGAAGATATCAAACGAGGACTTGCTTTGGCATTGTTTGGTGGTGAAGCCAAAAATCCGGGTAATGTAGGAAATTTTTCATAGTGTTTTTTTTTGAAATATACAATTCTTAAAGTGTACTCTCTGTTCTTTTTTTTACTTTTTTGATCTTTTATAATAATAAAGTAATAAATAAAATATTTTATTGATCACCAATTTTATTTATGATACTGTAACACTTCATTCTGATACAGTACTTATCTCATCTCACAAGATTAGCTATTCTCGTTTATTGCTGCCCTCTATATGCATGTCACAAGTCTTCTGTACCCCCTCCATTGGAATCAAATGATTCCATTGTGTTTCTCATGCAAATCATCATGCATCACCTATCCACTAATAGGACCATAGTACACTCACGTGATGCATGTGACTCCCTCTATGTGCCTTTACTGAACTACCACATCTGGTTTGGCAGTGCCTGCACTCGGACGTCTTTATTTTTTCATCAGTTTTCGTGTTTAAAATCATATTTATCATAGTGGTTTAATTTAATTTAAAATACTTGTTTTTGGTTTTGTTTTTTTGACATTATTTCACTTCACTTACCCTTATTCTAATCACATTTCTTAATTACTTCAAATGCTTTTGTCACCATGAATTCCGAAGCTAATGTCACCACTTTGGGTGTCACACAATTAACAGGCGCTATACCACAGGCTTCAGGTGCTGCTGACCCGACTGGAGATTTGCCCATGTTTATTTGCAGGGATATTGAACATTATGTGGGTCAACCTTTATCTCCAGACATTGTCCATCTTCTTCCTGAACCTATGGAACCTGGTCAGGTTGACGGGGACTTTGATTGTCTGTTTCTACCTCCTGATTTTGCCATGCCTTCCTGTACCCTCCCTGAGGATTCTGTTTGCCTGTCCACAGTTTTTTGGACTTTATTTCCCTTGCTTCTATATTTTATGACCCGTGTCTTTTGTTATTGCATGAACATACTTCCCAACCCTATATTTTACACTGTCTTAGGTGTTGATGTTCCTCCAGGTTCTCTAATGCATTCTCACCCTCCTTTCTTCTAGTAGAGTATGGGAGTTCTTACCACTTACAAGCTGCCATAGTGGTTGACCATGAAGGCACCTTGCTGGATGGGTTCCATATAAAATGACTATAACCATTCAGTTCAGAGTAGGGCGGTGGTGTTCTGCCAGTGTAGCTGGCATAATATCCTCTGATTTGAGATTAAACATACTACGGAGCATGACATCAAAATGCAATTCAACCCTTTGATTGGGAGCCCTCTTCTTACCCTCGCATGGATGTCAATATCCTGCTGGCTGGTTTTGGTTTTCAAGTGAACCAATCAACATAAGTTCTCGCACAAGTTTCGGGTTGTCTATCTTTTTCCCTCGATTCCTCCTTCTGTGTTGTGGGTCATAGTTGAGTTATGTTGTACTGTTCCAGTTCTATTGTTGACTCTTCTTCATTCTCTCTTGTTACGCAGATGTTATTGCTTTTTGGATGGTCCCGACCTGTTTCACAATCGCAGGAGTTGATTACATGCGATAGACTTCCTTTCGATACCGGATGTCACATTCCCAGATCAATAGCTCAGAGCTCATTCTGTGTAATACCCAGGAATCAGAGTTGTTCTAAACTCCCCAGTTCTTGGGTTTGAGGTGAAGATTCTCATCCTACCCTTGTGTGGATGTTGATACCCCAAGAGGAGGTTTTGGGATGTAGTTTACTTGCCTAGTATGGTCTGCCACGCCTTAGCCACTCTACACCATGGGACACATCCTCATTTACACACTTTCTTATTGTGGGATTAAGTTCCTATATCTCCTCATTTTTACACATTCCTCAACTAGTCAAAGAATATACCTGGATCAGAAGTGCTGCAGTTCACCTCACCAGATCTTTGGAAGCTTTCAGGAGTATGTCTGTTCTTCCCTCTCACCAGTACCTCCTCCTTATCAATGTGGGATTCTAGCTAATCTTGTGAGAGAAGACAAGTACCGTATCAGAAGTTATAATTTTCCTATAATTATAACTCTAGAATTACCTAGGTGTTTTTTTTTGTTGTTGTTGTTGCAAAATTTAAGGATATATAATTATGGTTTAGATAAACCACACTTTAAGAATTACCTAGGTGTTTTTGTTTTGTTGTTGTTGTTGCAAATTTTAAGGATATATAATTATGGTTTAGA